ATCCAAATCCACCTGCCAATAGCCGCTTTTCAGATCGAGCGTTGAAAACCATTTCATGCCACTCAGTGTGTCAAGTGTGTCATCGATTCTTGGTAACGGGTAGCTATCCTTCTTGGTTACATCATTCAATCGTCGATAGTCTACGCAAAACCTCGTTGAACCATCTTTCTTCTTGACAAGCACGACAGGTGAACACCAAGGGCTAGAAGAGGGCTCTATCACGTCATTTTTCCTCATATCGTCAATCATTTCTTCAACCTCTTTCTCACGAGCGAATGGTATGCGTCTGGGCCTTTGACGAATTGGCATTGTATCACCTGTGTTTATTTTATGCTTCACTAAACCAGTTCGGCCAATATCACCATCGCTTCTTGAAAACACATCAGAGAATCGAAGAAGTAAATTTCTAGCTTTCATAGTCTCCACTTTTGTCAGACTTTTGTTTTCGTCTAAGATTTTCGTTACAAAGTCTATTCCCGTACTGTCCTTCTTCACAAGATTCTCCGAGCATTTTCTTATCCAGGCCACTTCTTCCAATACGCCCACAGGCTCTCCTTCTTCAATCGTAATTTTTGAATCACTGAAGTTGAATACCGGAATGCGGTTGACATCAGATGACCCCACGACAGTTCTCGCCGGTAGCCATGAGTTTACGTGTTCCGATTTATCAATCACAGCGCACCTTAGAGGTAAACTTCCTTCCCTCCTCCTAGGTAATGCGATTGGTACGAGAGTCTGTGATTTTGGTTCAAGAACAGTTCTTCTTAAACAGCAAACTTTTCCCAGGGTTCCACCCTTCATCGGAATTTCTTCAGTTCCACATAGTAATACTCCAGATTTTAAGTCGATGTTACACTGGTGCCCTTGCAGGAAGTCAAGTCCCAGGATGCAGTCATCCAGAATTTTGGCCACAATAACCTCATGTCGATAAACACGTTCCCCAATTTTGATTGTTACATGCAGTTTTCCACTTATCGGTATGCACTGGCCGGTAGCTGATTTCATTCGTAGGCCAACAATTGGTTTAACGTGTTTCCTGATGTTTTGCCCGAGCAGCCGAACATTTATCACCGTCCTTGAAGCTCCAGTATCTAATGTTAGCTGACTGTTTTTCCCATTTACTTGACCGTCTATCACCAGAGTATTTCCATCGCTAGTTTGCTTGATGTAGATTGTTGGGGTTATTCCACTACCGGCCAGCGCCCACCCCGCAGCCCTGGCTGGATTTAGTTTCCCTGCTGGTCAGAAGTTGAGACCGCCGCGTCCTGGCGGTTCACCTTCTTCGGGCAGTCGCTCCGCATGTGCCCACGCTCTCCGCATCCATAGCACATGAAGTTCCGACGACGTGGAGGTACCTGCTCCGTTGTCGTCATTTCCCGCAGACGTAAGGTACGGGAGTTACCACGCACGGCTTCCACTTCCAATGCATGGGCCAGAGCTTCTTTCATGTTCTTGTGATGGCCCAGATGAACAGCAGCTCGTACTTCGGGGTCCCGAACACCGTCAATGAATGCTTGGAGAAGCGTGCCTTCAATCATTGATGGAGTCGACCGAAAAGCTCGACGCACAAGTTTCTCGATTTCCACGGACCATTGCTGTAGACTCTCATTAACACGCTGAGTACGCTCTTTTAATTGCGCTCTGTACACGTGCTCGAGGTGGCTGTCTCCAAAACGTGCCTCAAGTGCGTCGAGGAGGGTACTAAAGCTGAGATCCCCACTTGCGCCGATAGCTTCCAGCACTGAGAGCGCTTGATCACGGAGGGCCAGGGTGAGGGCTGACTGTGCTTCCTTCTGAGTCCAACCATAAGCCTCCATAAGTGTCTCAAACTGTAGCTTGAACGCGGTCCAGGATGTTGTTCCGTCGTAATGGGGAATCTTGAGCCCTTTCGTTGCGCTTGAGGCCGCATTTGGGGCGTCAAAAACGGCTGCAAGACGGCTTCGGCTCTTCAAAGGGCTTGGGCTTGTCATTTCCTGCTTGATTTTGGAGATCTCTTCTTCCACTCTCTCCTCTATGGCCATGACGCGATGTTCCAACTTGCCTAACCCTTCCTCCACTTCCTGTACCCGTTCGACAGCCTTTTGCAGTCCCTTCGTGAAATCCTTATGCATCTCTTTCAGCTCCCGTAGCTGCTCCGCCTGACAGTGTGCTTGCTCCCGTAGCTGTTCTGCCTGACAGCGTGCTTGCTCCTCTTGGCGGCGCGCTTGCTCTTCTTGGCGGCGCGCTTGCTCTTCTTGGCGGCGCGCTTGCTCTTCTTTCAGCTCCCGCAGCTGTTCTGCCTGACAGCGCGCTTGCTCTTCTTGGCGGCGCGCTTGCTCTTCTTGGCGGCGCGCTTGCTCTTCTTGGCGGCGCGCTTGCTCTGCTATCATTTGCTGCAGCTGTAGCAGAAGATCCACCTGCACAGGCTTGGCTTCTGCATCGCTGGTTTGAGCTGCAGCACCCTCTTCCCTCACACGCTGCGCTTCTGACATTGAACGGGTACTCACTCCTCTTACGTCCTGCGGCACTAGCGGCATTTTTCTCCAATCCCACTTCTGACACCAAATGTTACGTGCCTGACGTCACGTTCCTGACTATGCGGGCTTGGGTTACGGGATTGGATGAAATGAAACACTAATACCGGTTTTCAGACTTTCTATTGCACTTAAGTTACAGCGTCCACGGAGTTAAGTTATCGGCGTTCCTCTCCAGCAGAGTCCGGCCGACTGACACAACTTTGCCGTTCACGCTGACTTAACTCACTTAACTGACTGCACTTCACTATTTCACTGCACTTCACTATTTCACTCACTTTTCTTCTTTCTCACTTCTTCCTTTTCTTCCGAATCGCTTTAGACTTAGAACTCAACTGCCAGCGGTGAGCCGCAGTTCCGCTTATATACCCCCGGTCAGGTTCTAGAACATTCAATTTCGTTATTCTTTTTGATCGTCATGCCTCCAGAATCTTCCAATAATTTCGTTATTCATTTTTATTTATTCTTCTTCTCGCTCCTTAATTTTTCATCACTTTCACTCAAATATTCCAGAAAGTTCGACAAAACTTCCATCAACTAAAAAACTTCATGTTTACGGCGGGACTCGAACTCGGGGTCTCTGTGGTGTAATCCACACGCCTTACCGATTACACCAACTCGTGTTGACAATTCACGACGAAATTTACAATCTCTAGGCAACGTTTGACAACCATCCATTGATGTCATGATGTCAAAGAGTTTTCTGTCACACTAATTTGAATTTAGAATCTGTCATTTTTAAATAATTTTTCATTGTGTTTTCTTATTTTGGCGTCAATAAATTGTTCAATATTTTGCGATATTAAAATGGAGTGGGGTGATAAAGAGAACCGAATCGCTGTGATTGCATTACACAAAGTGGGTATGGAGCCAAATGCAATTTTTAAAACTCTCCACACGCTTGGCATTAATCAAATGTTTGTATACCGGGCTATTAATAGGTACAATGAGACCTCCTCTGTTTGTGACAGAAAAGATCTGGCCGTCCATGTAGTGTTCGTACGAAAAAGGTGGTCAAAGCAGTAAGGGAAAGAATTCGAAGAAATCCTGTCCGAAAGCAAAAGATTTTATCTCGGGAGATGAAGATAGCACCTAGAACCATGTCGCGTATTTTAAAAGACGACTTAGGACTTGCAGCCTATAAGAGACGCAATGGACATTTTTTAAATGATAATTTAAAAAAGAATAGGGTGATAAAATCTAAACAACGCAGTACGCAAAGGGAGATCACAGAAAAATTTTCTTTACGGATGAGAAAATTTTTACAATTGAGAAACATTTTAACAAACAAAATGACCGTATTTATGCTCAAAGCTCTAAGGAAGCTTCTCAATTAGTCGACAGAGTGCAACGTGGGCATTATCCGACTTCAGTGATGGTTTGGTGGGGTGTTAGCTATGAAAGAGTGACTGAGCCATACTTTTGCGAAAAAGGTATCAAAACATCGGCACAAGTGTATCAAAATACCATTCTTGAGAAGGTAGTTAAGCCCCTTAACAACACCATGTTCAATAACCAACAATTGTCCTTCCAGCAAGACTCGGCGCTGGGTCATAAAGCTCGGTCCACGCAGTCTTGGTTGGAAACTAAGTCTAGTCCCGATCTTAATCCGCTGGATTATTATTTATGGTCAGTTTTAGAGAGTAGGGCTTGCTCTAAACGTCATGATAATTTGGACTCCATAAAACAATCCATACGATTGGCCGTGAAGAATTTTCCCATGGAAAGAGTGCGTGCTTCTACTGATAACTGGCCTCAACGTTTATAGGACTGTATTGCAGCCAATGGAGACCACTTCGAATAAGCTTTTTATGTTTTAAATTGTTTTATATTTATGTATTAAACTTACACACTGTAAAAGTAATAAATGTTATTTGCAATAGAAAAAAACATTTTTATTTGTTACAGTATTTATGGCTAGACTAGGTATATAGTCAGTAGTTACTGAAGTTCTCAATATTAATTAAACCTTGAATGAGTTTATATAGAAGCATTCTTTTGGATTGTGAGCACGCATATGTGAGTGCCATGTTCGAGACGATAACGGATTAAAATTTTAATTACATGTACCATCATTTGTATTTGTTCCATTTTATTAACAACTTGTCTCTGCATTGTTCTTACATAGAGGTACAATAATGTATAAAAATGTATTAGTGAATTGTAAAACAAATAATATTTTTTGTGATGTTGTTCATCTAACCATACTGTTGAGTAGCGCACGATGTCGGGGTGGCACTTCAACAACAGTGGCAACAGCGACTACTAAAAAGTAGTTTTTATTACCACTGTTTTACTGCTCGCCACATAACTTATTACTAAAAAATACTTTAAATTCAAATAACAATGAAACACGATAGTCTGTTTTTTTTAAAAAGGTTTTGATTTTTTTTACCACGACACCTGGCTAAATTTCTCAATAGTCAGTTCATGTTTCAGCTGTCATGTCATTTTGGCATTTTGTATTGAATGACAGCAGTAAGACATTGACAAGTGACAGTATTACATTATAATTCCATCCATCCGTGGTCCGGCGAGGTGTAGTGTTGGATGAAAATGAACGGTTTTGTACATTATGTATTAATTTAATATTGAATAATAACGAATCATTTATACTTTCTTTGAAAGAAATACTGAAAGGAAGCTTACATGGCTGACGTACGTGATAATAGTTATAAAATTTTAAATATTCTTGTCAGAAAGTGACAATCTTTTTTAAACATGTACTCGTGGACGAAAACTAATATTTGTAACTAATTTGTGAGTGTGTAACTAGTGCCAATTTATTGCGTTGGAAAAAGCGTCAATATTTTTTTGCTTTAAAATACATGAAGTATTAAACAGTAGGTTGTAAGTAAGTAAAATGTGAAGTCCATGCTAGTATAATTTACAACAGTTTGAAAGGCAGCAGACGGTTGAAGAAGTATGCTAGAGTAGGCTGTGCAAGAAGCTAAGGTTGAACAGCCGACATGGCGCTGGATACGTCTCGGCGCGAGGCGCTGGTGGTGGTGGCGCTGTGCCTGGCGTGGTACGCGGTCAGCTCGGCCAGCAACGTGGTGGGCAAGCTGGTGCTGACGGACTTCCCGTTCCCCGTGACCGTGACCATGGTGCAGCTGCTGAGCATCGTGCTGCTGAGCGCGCCCGCCTTCGCCGCCTTCGGCGTTCGGCGCCAGACCGACTTCCCGCGCCGCTACTACTGGCGCACTCTCGTGCCTCTCGCCTTTGCCAAGTTCCTGACCACTATTTGCTCTCAAGTATCAATATGGAAAGTTCCCATCTCCTATGCACATACAGGTAAATGCTGTCTCCTGGTTTTTCAAGTGGTTGCCACTCGAACATTTCATTGAGGCTCATTACCCATTTGTTATGCGAGCATGTCCTTCTGTTTGAAAATTAACATGTCTCAGTACCATATTTTGTATGATGATATTCTAGTTTTAGCTTTGAAACTTGTATCAACTATGTAAACAGAATTTTATTTCATCCTTTTATTTACGCTCAATCATTTTAAACAGTACTTTTTTTAAAATTGGGGATTGAATTTTTTCATTGAACAACAGCACTAACCTGCTGTACATTTAACTATATTATGTATTTAATGTTTAAAAACAGCTACCATACTGATTGTCCATAATTAAATAAAATTGTGGTGAATACCTTACAGTATCGCCTTTAACTGAGCTTCGGGTAAAGTTTAAATACTTGTGTATTGGCACACTTATCATAATAAATATAGAAACAAATTGTACGGTGGCAGTGAAGGCGACGACCCCGCTGTGGACGGCGGGGCTGGCGTGGGTCCTGTTCGGGGAGCGCCAGTCGCGCGGCGTGCAGCTGTCGCTGGTGGTGATCGCGCTGGGCGTGGGCGTCGCGTCGGCCACCGAGCTACAGTTCGACGCGCTGGGGCTGGGCGCCGCGCTGGCCGCCGCCGCGCTGCTGAGCCTGCAGCATCTGTACTCCAAGCGCGTCATGCGCGACACGGGCGTGCACCACCTGCGCCTGCTGCAGGAGCTGGGCCGCCTGGCGCTGGCGCTGTTCGCGCCGCTGTGGCTGGCCTGCGACGCGGCGGCGCTGGCGGCGGGCGCGGCGCCGGCGACGGGCTGGGCGCGCGGCGCGGCGCTGCTGGCGGCGGACGGCGCGCTGGCGTGGCTGCAGGCCGTGGCGGCGTTCAGCGTGCTGTCGCGCGTGTCGCCGCTGGCGTACGCCGTGGCGTCGGCGGCCAAGCGCGCGGCCGTGGTGCTGGCGTCGCTGCTGGCGCTGCGCAACCCGGCGCCGCCGCTCAACCTGGCCGGCATGGCGCTGGCGGCCTGCGGCGTGCTGGCCTACAACCGCGCCAAGCTGCGCGCGCGGGGCCAGCCCGCGCTGCCCGTCTGACCGCCTGCCTCGACTCTCTTGTGCTGCTCTTGTAAAATATTTTTATTTTTATATGTACGATGAGGACATTTTAGTGTAAATTGACTATATTATTATAGATTATGTTATTGTATATTTTAGTGCAAGAATAAACGAATTGTTGCTATTTTATTTTAAATAACTTTATTGCTATACCTGTGAAATTAATGACGTGAAGAGATTTATGTAGGACTAGCTTCCGCCACCGGCTTCGCCCGCGTGCTGTTTTGATAAAAAGCAGCTATAGCAATAAAAATATCTCCAACAATAGAACAAAATCGAAGTATACATAACATTTGTTATTAATCGTCTCATTTTTATGGGTACATCTCCAATGGATAAATACCCTATTACTTACTAAGTCTCCGCTATCCCTCCGTCCATAGAATCCATAGGATCTAACTAATAGATAAGTATTACAAATATTTCATAAAACCTATTATATTATATCTTGTACCGCGTCGCGTCGAGCGCGGCATCCGTTACACAAAAAATATCCTTATGGGATGATTCAGTGTTCACATGCGACGGCGCGATGGCTTATATCAGAACTGCCAAGCTATCAGGAATTACTCGTGCTATTGTGAGCAAACTATAAAAAGTAATAATTTAAAAAAATGTGTCTTTGGGGGACCGATCCAAATATTTTATTATCTACTGCATATTTCTATTTTATATCATTTTCTCTCAATTAAGTCATCAACATTCCTTTTCAGTGCGCTTTCATTTGAGACCCCATTCGAGTATATTTGCAGACCTTCGGTTACCCTTTCCCACTTAATACCCCCCATAACTTCTAAACGGCTCACCCGATTTTCGTCAAACATGTCTAAGAAAACTCGCACTTATGTGACCTTTAATACAAAAAAAAAAACTAAATTGAAATCGCTTCATCCGTTCAGGCTCCAGGATGCCACAGACAGACAGACACGTCAAAGTTATAACACTCCTCTTTTCACGTCGGGGGTTAAAAATAGACATAGGCTGTAAAACAATTTTTTTTTAGATTATTTTACGTAGAATATTTCCGTCATACATAATTTCTATGTAACTAACCATTAAGGTTACACACGCGACGAAAACTTACAAAAGGGAGTATCTTCTCCGTTTTCCCAACGTTTCCCATCACTGCTCTACTCCTATTATTTTTAGCGTGATGAAAATTATCCTATAACCTGCCCACGAGTATAAAGAATAAAAGTACCAAGTTTTGTTAAAATCCTTCGAGTAGTTTTTGTTTCTATAAGGAACATACAGACAAACAAAAAGATATTTTTTTGCATTTTTGGCATCAGTATCGATCAGTTATCACCCCCTGGTAGTAATTTTGTAAATATATTTAATGTAGGTACAGAATTGACCCCTCTACAGATTTATTATAAGTACCTATACATAGATAAAAATAAGCTCTTTTAAATAAAGATTGAAAAAAAAGTACCTATGGATTCCTGATCTAGAAAAAGATAACCTTCAAAAATATCTCCAACAATAAGTATACGAGTTGAGCGGCGAGCGTATAATTTCAGTTGTGTGCGCAACCCAGCTACACCGGTCGACACTCTATTTGTTAAATAAATAAACACCCAGGGATGGAAGGCTGGTTCTTTTATTCCTCCATGCTCGTTGGAACTTCTATGGACGGCTCCATGAGCCTTGAGCCTAATTTTGTAGCACCTAAATAGAATAATTAAAATCATTATCTAAAAGTACTTATTTCCATTAGCATAGATAAATAAATAGTTACAATTTCCGGTTTAACCGAGCAGTTTAAAAATGTATAAATAAGGAACGAATTGTTTCTCACAAATTCGTGCTTCGCACAAGAAGACGGAATAGTGACATTAATTTGTCCTTTTTCTAATACATAATTCAAATCATTTATTTCGTACTAGCTGTGCCGGCGACTTTGTTTGCGTAGGTAACTGTCGAATAGTAAACAACGTCGTTTAGATAGGTGTAGTATACATCTATATATACTCGCCTATATATAAAATACCATATATATGTACATATATGAATACTTCACACACACTTTTTGCGAACTTAAACGGGACTCGGGGACTCCCTTTTCCTAAAAGTCTCTGATTCGCGTGAGAGAACGTGACGCTCTCGAATCTCGATCAAAGTGATAGTCGCACTGCGCGTTCTTGAATACTCTCTTGAGACCGCAAAGTCGCAGTCCCGGGCACGCTGTTATAGCAACAGTAAGACCCCTTTTTGAGGAGTGGCTTGAAAGACGCCATGGCGTCCGTTTTACATTCCACTTGACGCAGGTGCACGCAGCTAGGATAGGTTTCTGCTTAAACTTGAAACGCCCGAGTGTTGTCATTGTGAGGACACGGTAGAGCATACTATGTCCTCAGGGAAATGATCGGCGGCGGCACCTCTCGCACCCAGCCTTAGTTGAGTGAGGTCATGGTGCGGAGCGAGAGCAACTGGAAAGCCGTCTCCTCTTTCTGCAAAGCAGTTAAAGACGGAGCCAGAGCGCGTGAGGAAGCTGTCCTCCCACCGCGGCTTAGAGCAGGAGAAGAAGCGGGAGAAGTTAATTGACGATTTTCCGCTCACAAAAAACCTTATAGATATATTGTGTAAACCATGTAGATATATTCACCGCATTCAGATTTCTATTTATTATGTACATTAGTTCAATTGTTGGAAACAAAAACTAAGTTTTACCTCAATTTGCGTATTATTTTTGTATATAAATTTTGCCTGCATTGAATTTGTAGATTTTACTTGATGCGCACAGAACAAACAAACAGACAAAGATTTCAAAACCTATAATAATAGGTTCTGTTAGTCGACATAAATATGAGATATCATTAGAAACGTCATAGGCTATATATATTTATTTATTTCTTCTTCATACAAACAGTGTGAATGGCGGACTTAATGCCTTAAGGCATTCTCTAACAGTCAACCATAGGGCAGTGCAGAGAATTTTTGCGGTTGGTGCGAAGCAAGGACACAGAGTCCTAGAACAGGATGAAAGGGGAAAGAAAAAGGAAGAAACAAACACGATTCTTTACACATAAATAAATAGATATGCATAAAATAAGTTAACGAATAGAATAAATAATACATGTTAAGTATGGATATATTGAAACATACATACTATAATATACAGATATACATATACATACGTACATAATATTATCTAGATGGGAAAAACCATGTCGAGACTAGTTACCACATCTGTTTTGTGTCTGCCAATCCATAAGTAAAATATATATACATAGTCTGGCCATAAATACTGTTACAATTAAAAATAAACAAAATATAACATTTGAATTTGGAATCTGTCATTTTTATATAATTATTTCATTGTATTTTCTTATTTTGGCGCCAATAAATTGTTCAATATTTTGCGATATTAAAATGGAGTGGGGTGATAAAGAGAACCGAATCGCTGTGATTGCAATACACAAAGTGGGTATGGAGCCAAATGCAATTTTTAAAACTCTCCACACGCTTGGCATTAGTCAAATGTTTGTGTACCGGGCTATTAATACAAGGTTATAGGTACAATGAGACCTCCTCTGTTTGTGACAGAAAAAGATCTGGCCGTCCATGTAGTGTTCGTACGAAAAAGGTGGTCAAAGCAGTAAGGGAAATAATTCGAAGAAATCCTGTCCGAAAGCAAAAGATTTTATCTCGGGAGATGAAGATGGCACCTAGAACCATGTCGCGTATTTTAAAAGACGACTTAGGATTTGCAGCCTATAAGAGACGCACTGGACATTTTTTAAATGATAATTTAAAAAAGAATAGGGTGGTAAAATCTAAACTAACGTTTCCGACTTCATCAGAGCTGAACACTGGCCGTCGTCTAGTCCCGATCTTAATCCGCTGGATTATTATTTATGGTCAGTTTTAGAGAGTAGGGCTTGCTTTAAACGTCATGATAATTTGGACTCCCTAAAACAATCCATACGATTCGCCGTGAAGAATTTTCCCATGGAAAGAGTGCGTGCTTCTATTGATAACTGGCCTCAACGTTTAAAGGACTGTATTGCAGCCAATGGAGACCACTTCGAATAAGCTTTTTATGTTTTATATTTATGTATTAAACTTACATACTGTAAAAGTAACAAATGTTATTTGCAATAGAAAAAATGATTTTTTTTTATTTGTTACAGTATTTATGGCTGGACTAGGTATATTACCAGCATTTGCTTGTGACTTTGCCTGTATTCATGGGCTTTTTTTTGTGGGGGGAAAATCATCAAATGACTTCTCCCGCCCAGGGTAGGGCGGGAGGGAGTGTCAGACTCTTACTGACTAAAAACCCCCCTGTTCCTACTTCTGCTCTAGGCCGAGGTCGCGGCGCCTCATTGCCCTTACCCCGCAACCCCGGCTGAACATCAGCCCAATGGGGCCCCGTCTGTGGTGGTCTATTGGCTCTTTGAGGCGCGCGCGGAACGCTACGCGCCGTACGCTCGGATGTATTCATGGGCTGATTGCATATAATTCACAAATTTACGTTCATAGCTTCTACTACTTAATACTAGTTCATCAATTTAACTTTTGTTGATATTATGCGCTACAAATACACTCTAACGCCAAAATAGAAAGGCGTAGTCATACGTTACGTTTACTTACCAAGCTTACACTTTGAAAGTGTGACTACGCCTTTCAGTATTTTGAAAATCTTGTTTTATACTTTTTCAGCGTCGGTTTTTGCCGTATTTGGGTTTTAGTTTTATACTTTTTATTCAATCCGAATAATCCTCGAATATCGCACGATCTCCGGGGAGGCGGCGAACCTCCTTGCCGGATCACCGCCATGGGATCTGGAAGCGAAGGCGCTCGCGCGCGTCTACAGTTTGCGCGCAGACGCGCGTCGCCGGGGCGAGGATCCTCTGCCGCGCCAAATTAGTGCGTGGCGGAATGAGCTCCGGCGAGATCTCATGGCTGAGTGGAAGCAGCGACTGTCGCAACCGAGGGCCGGGCACGCTACTATAGCAGCGGTAAGACCCCTCTTTGAGGAGTGGCTTGAGAGACGCCACGGCGTCCTCACCTTCCGCCGGACGCAGGTGCTTACCGGCACGGCAGGTTTGGTAGGTTCCTGTTTCGGATCCAGCGGGAGGAAACGCCCGAGTGTCGTCATTGTGAGGATCACCTGGAGGACA